GAGGAAACGAAGGAAGGAAGGAAAAAAAAGAATAGCAGAATAAAAGAATAGCAGAATAAAAGAATAGCAGAATAAAAGAATAGCAGAATAAAAGAATAGCAGGCACCTTGGAGGTCATCTAGCCCAACCCCCTGATCAGGCAGGGGACCCTAACCTTTAAGAAAAAGAACCTCCAGGGATGGAGAAAGAAGGAAGGAAGGAATAGAAAGAGGGAGTGAGGGGGGAAACGAAGGAAGAAAAAAAAAGAATAGCAGAATAAAAGAATAGCAGGCACCTTGGAGGTCATCAACCCCCTGATCAGGCAGGGGACCCTAACCTTTAAAAAAGAGAACTTCCAGGGATGGAGAAGGAAGGAAGGAATAGAAAGAGGGAGTGAGAGGGGAAACGAAGGAAGGAAGAAAAAAAAAGAATAGCAGAGACCTTGGAGGTCATCTAGCCCAACCCCCTGATCAGGCAGGAGTCCCTGTGACCCTTTCAGGCAAAGGGCTCTCCAATCCCTTCTTAAAAGCTTCCAGGGTTGGAAGCAGCAGGCACAACTTCTCCAGGCAGGCAGTTCCGCTGGTTAATTGTCCTCACTGTCACCCACCCCATCCATCCTGCACCCCTGCTTCATTCATGCTTTTGGGGGGGATCACGTATCGGACGCACGTCTGCACGTCTTGGAAACACGCGTGCAAAGGGTGTGTGGCATTTCCAAGCCCTGGACAGGGGAGGGGGCATTGCCCAATCAGTGCCAGCCTTGCAGAGGCAAGTGGAGGGGGGGGGCGCTTGGTATGCAGACCACCCACCCCGCCCATCATGCAAACGACTCTCCCCCTTCCTCCCTAAATGGAATCCCCCACCCCATATTTCCTTTTTTGCACATGGACCCCTTTCTCTTTAAAAATTCATTATTATTATTATCATCATTATTATCGTTATTTATTTTAATTTATTTTGCATTTCTTCGGCCACGAAATCTTTGCTCGGATTTCCGCTGAAAACGGGCACCCGCTTCGGACATTTCTGCAACTTTCCCCGCGGCCACCACCATCACCCCCCCCCCGCCCGTCCGTCCGGATGGTCTCGCCCGGTCCCCAACGTCCCATCCGCAGCGCTTCCGCCTCCCCTCGCGCCAATTGGAAACGGGCCGGAAGCTGCTGCGCGCGGAGAGGGCGCCACCATTTCGGAGGAGAGGGGGGGAGCGGAAGGAAAGGACCAACGAATCGACGGCTTCCGCTCCGCCGACTCTCCTTTCCCTCCTTCAGACTCGGATCCCCGGAGGAGACATAGAGAGACACCCCCCCCTTATCCAGAACAGCCCCTCCCGGCCATGGAGCCTCCCGAAGAGCCGGTGAGTGGGGAAAAGCTGGAGGTGGCCGCCCCAGGGCCCCGCGTGGCCACTGGATCCCCCTCCAAGCCCAAGCCGGCCCCAACCAGAGCCTCGCCCAGGACCCGGGCCAAGGCGCCTCTCGCCAAGAAGGCCGCCCAAATTCCCCCCAAGGCTGTAGATACAGTAGACGCTGCAGGGGAAAAGGAGCAGGAGCGCCCCCTTGTGGACGGAGCTGCCACTGGCAGCGCTTCCCAGCCGTTGCAACCTGGAACGGAGGCAGGTGAGACGCCTATCCCATCTTGTCCACCAGATGGCGCCAAAGAGGAAGTTTCTCAGCCGCAGCTGCCAGTGATGGAGACCGCTCAGCCT